GAATGCTTGATCTATGCTGACGATTTGAAGTTATGGATGGAGGTAACCAGCGCTGAGGATGCTGACCGCCTCTAAAATAAACTGGATCGGCTGCATGATTGGTCACTTAAATGGCAGTTGCCTATAAATCGCGATAAATGTTCTGTACTCCCCATTGGTGCTACTGAACCATTCGGTGTTTACCACCTTGGTGGTTATTTGCTTAATAATGTGAAACAGGAAAGAGACCTTGGTGTCATTGTATGCTGTGATCTAAATACCATCGGATACTTTGAAGGTTGCTGCGGCTAACAGACTACTGCGTTCTATCCGACGAGCCTTCTCACGATTGACTCCGGAGATCTTCAGACTTATGTTTCCTTCCATGTACGTCCATTCCTCGAATATGGATTACCCGCAGTTCATCCACTTACAAAGCTTGAACATGGTTTGATTAAAAAGGTTCAGCGACGCGGTTCTAAGTACATCTTTGAGTTCCGGCACCTCCCATATCACGTCCGTCTTCAGCATTAGAATATGTTCTCCTTGGGATATCGGCGTCGTCGAGGCGATCTGATCTACGTTCGGCGCATTCTGCGAGGCGAGATGGGAAACGAGCTCCAAGGTTTCTTCCAGGTTAACGCTGTGTTCGACTCGGGGCCACTGCTGGAAACTGTTTAAACCTAGGAGACTCAGGCTTCGCTCTGATTTTACACTATCGACTCGTGTGGTGAACGACTGGAACTGCTTGCCTTATTCCGTCGTCAACGTGCATACGGAGGAATGTTTTAAGCGATTGTTGGCTTTACACTTCTTGAATTTCCAGGGATCTTGTTTTTTCTTATGTAACTGACAATCTAACTTGTTAATTGCTGTTGCGCAAACACCTGCTATGATTGGGAGGTGATGGGGCTGACAAAGGTCTTTCCTTCTGCTCTCTACATTACAATGATTGCGATCATGGTATAGGTAGAATTTCAATTACAATAATGATTACTGAAAATTTGTCCGGTTGTTCCCAGTTTTAATCGGACCGCACCTCTTCCTAGCCTTTATTGACGACGTCACACCGCAAGTGGGATCCTCGCTGCTGCTATACACGGATGACGCGAAGCCGGACGATGCCCACGCACTCCAGACGGACCTCGACCGTCTACATCAGTGGTCCCTAGAAAACAACCTTCCATTTAACGCTTCGAAATGTCGCGTCCTTTCTACCCGCCCTTCCGCTTTTTCTCCTATATATTACCTGGGCGCGTCTATCCTCCAGATCTCTTCGGCCGAAAGAGACTTGGGTATCATTACCCAGACGAGTCTTTCCTTATCCTCTTTCTGCCGGAAAGCAGCAGCTGCTGCTAACCGCATGGTGGGATTGCTGAAACGATTCTTCGGTAAAATTGAGCCCAGCACTTTCCGCCTCCTCCTCAACGTTTTTCTTCGACCCCACTTGGAGTTCGCTATTCAGGCTTGGAGCCCTTGGTTGTTGAAGGACCAACGCATACTCGAAGTCCCACAACGTCGAGCACCAAAACTGGTCCGAGGTCTCAAGCACCTAGATTATCCACTCTGACTTTAGTGCCTGGGCCTCTACTCGCTTAAGTACCGACGTCTACGGGGTCACCTGATCCTTGTATGCATGATCTTATCCAACCCTGGACATCCCTGTTGCCACCCACTCACACTGCACCAATCGTGCTCCCACCTACGTGGCCACCCACTGAGGCTCACACATCAGCGCAGTCGGCTGAACTGCAGACGACACTACTTCGCTTTGCGAATCTGCCGACCGTGAAATGCTCTGCCTGATGATTTAGTCTTGGCACCCACTGTGGCGGACTTTAAGACCCGTCTGTACTGTCATCTGGCCGAGTTACACCGCGATATTCCCTAATATAACTACCTTCTACTGGATGGAATTTCTTTCTTTTTTCTTCTACCTACTTCCTTTCCAAAGCCGTTTCGGAGGGCGTGGTGGGATGTCACGCTTTGAGGCGGCATGCATTCTGTTTAAATGCCGCATAAGCCCGATGAAGATACGGTTAACACGCGAGTCCAACCCGCTATAAGGTTGCTTGGCCTTTCATTAGACCCGACCCAAACTCTTTTTACTTTATGGGTCATGTAAAGCTCGAGCTTTTATTCCCATTAAATACAATGTTGCAATGTTCCAGTCCCGTTTTGCACCCTGTTTTTGCCATATTTATTGGGGTCGTTTTACTATGGTATCCGTGTTGCAATTCTGCTCTGTTTTGCACCTGAACCTGGATGTCTCGCTCAACACCTAGGCGGATGGACCCCGGGGCCTACGTTTGATGAGTCTAGTGCAGCTTGCGGACTTTGTAACTGTTCAGAGCCAGTACCGGATTTAGCTGACGGTATGCTGTGTGACGGGCTGGCTTGCCGAACAACCTCCTCGTGGTGCCAGCTGGGTGTTTCGGGATTTTCCCGTTCCAGCAAATGGTTCGGCTGCAGTGTTCCAGGACGTGGTGGGTTGTCGCCTGGCAAGCGTTCTCCCTATAAAAAGCCACATATGTCCGTTTAACAACACTGTGACGTGGCGGACGTGACTCGCCACTAAATAAAGTCACTGCCCCTTGCTTCATCCTGGCGAAGCATTGTATTCCAGCAACCATATGCTGTACTTCTGGGGAGCATTGGGCCCCTGTTTGACAAAGGAACAAACGAAAGGCGTATGAACTGAGCAATCAGTCACCGGCTCCCAATGGGCGCGATTCCCTGAATCGCTCCGCTGCCTTGCGGGCAGGCTATTCAGCCAAAGGCTCGGGGTGGTGTCCCCTAAGTCAACACCCTACTTCGGCTTGGGCAACCGGGTAGTATCTCGCCCTCTGAGGAAACCATGGACATTGTTGTGTTGTGTTTTATTCTACTGTTTCTGTACCTTCGTTTGAAACCCATGGTTTCTGATGGCATTATGTCTGTTAGCAAATATATATATATATATATATATATATATATATATATATATATATATATATATATATATATATATATATATATATATATGCTGTGTGACGTCTGCTGCCGCTGGTATCACGAACCCTGTACCGGCCTACAAGCAAATCAGTGCAAAATGCAATCATCCAGCGTTTACTTCCTTTTTTAGCTGTGCTGAATGTGGCGCTCAGCCTTCGACGCGCCAGGCTGTCACCGGTGCTAAACTTTTAGCGCTGGCTTCAAGATTGGTAGGGGTTGAGAAGGCGTTAGCCAAACTCGCCTCTATTGCCGCGCTCGATGCAAAATGTATTTCATTTCGAAATCCCTAAATATTGCGATTGAGGACACTGGAATAGTCGGCAACGTTGCTGACGGTCCATCTGCTGGGGTTTGTCACTCGGTCAAGAACTCGCACATCCTACCGGACACTCCAGGTAGCATTGCTGACTATCCTCATGCGCCGGTCATAGGAAAAAAATTAGGGTGCGAAAATACCAGCAGCCCACTGCTGAACCCAGAGCATTAGTTGCCACGGCATCGAGCAAGTTGCCGTCTATGATAGTAATAAATTCATGTGACGGTTGTGCACAGGAGAACTTTCCGAAGATACTGTCCGTCACAGCTGCCACTAAAACAGCCAGTTCTGACGAATGGTTGGTAACTGCTGATTGGGACACAAGGTCAACGGCCCCTGTTTCTGTGCGCCAAAAGAAGAAGCGGACTAGATCTGCCCGTAAAACTTCGAAGGAGCTTGAAGACCCTGGAAGTAGTAAGGCGTCAGCAATAGAACGGAAAACCTACGCTACCGTTGCTTCGACGTCATTTACGGAGACAGGAACCGTCACACTGCCAGTGATGAAAACAGCTGGTATAAGTGTCGAATCCAATGCACGTGGGGAAAAGCACTCCTTGTCGTACCCAGTCTTTCACGCGTAATAGCATTATATTCCGTATCGTTACTGAATCTGCGGCTGCTCTCTCAAGGAAACGCATATTGGATGACATTACGTGACTCAAACTGTGCGGCAGGAAGCTGCTTCCACTTGACTGCCCTTGTGTCACTGTCAGAAAGCTGACCAGATTGGGGAACGTCACTGTCGCTACGCCAAATCCGCGACCAGGACTATTTCTCCGGAGGAACGCACTTCATTACTGCGGTTTACATTCAAATTTAAGGGTAGTGGTGTCAGCGTTCAGCCGGAGCTTCCACTGGCAGATAAACTGGTTAAAGGAGGCTATCAAAGACCTCAATACTAGACGGGAGGCTAGTGAGCAAGGCCTCCGTCTTGTGTTATAACGCTGTGTCCGCAATCGACCGATCGATTTACGCCTACTGGTAAATCTGCGCCCTTACTCCTGCTCTGTTTGAGGCCTTGGCAAACCCGACAGGAAGGAAGACAGAGGAAGACTCAACAGACCATATTTGTATTAGGACACAGAACGCTCATGTTTATATGTCGGTCTCACCAACCCTCCAAATATCACTAGGCGGATTTGGCTGTAAACCCACGCTCCACATATGCTTGTCCGCTCCGGCGTCAGGAACATTCGGTGCAGACATCCTTGAGCTGTCTCTCCAAGTGCCTTTGCACTTTCTCACTGGGCATATGGACAACCAAATACCGTCTACTTTAGATCTGGTTTTTGCTAAGTCCCTCGACTTCGTGACTGACGTTTCACACGGTGCACCCCTGGGGTCCAGCAATCACGCATCCATATACTTCCGGCGTGCTATTTCAAGACACTAAACGATACTGTTGAATTACTTCCGAATATTTGTTGGTCGGACTTTAGTGCAATGCGAGCTCAGACTTCAGTCCTGAACTGCGAGATCTCCATGGCTGAATCTGTCCAGTTAGCCTGGGATAAATTAAAACACACCTCACAGTTTCCACTCTATATATCCTACGCACGCGGAAAAGATGGTTACGAGCACATCCTCCATGGATAAATACCACACGCAAGTACCTACTCAAGAAACGGTCTAGATGCTGGTGAACCTACCAAGCAGCTCCATCCACCGGTGCCTAGGATAGTTATCGAGTGATTTGAAGTAAATGTAAGCAACATCTCAGGACTGTTCGTCTCCGGTACGAGCTTGATTTAGCGTACTCGGCTACAGCTAATCCCAAGAAGTTTCCTGTTTACATTAGAAGACGCAGCGGGGCAAAACAGTCTATACCAGCGCTACTGCGAGCACACGGGACCCTGCGCAAACTGACTTTGACAAGGTTTGTATACTTGGCGAGCAGTACACTGGGGTCTTTGCTCGGAAGACCTCTTTACTACAGGTTGAATTGTTTTCAAGATTTGCAGAGGATTCTTACTTAATTGCCTTTAATCTAACAGCGATTCAGGTCTTTGAACTGCTGAATGTCATTAATCCCTCTAACGCTTCCCATCCTGATTCAATTCATCCTAAGCTGTTGCATAAATTGGCTGCTGAGCTGAGTGGTCTTCTCACATGCTTGCTTTCAATATCGCTTGACAGCTGCATCCTTCCTTCGGAATGGAAGAAAGCCATCACCTGTCAGATTTTTAAGGGCGGTGACAGCGCTCTACTATCGAACTACCGGCCTGCTATTTTGATAAGTATAGTAGTCAAGTTGTTTGCAAGGCTTACGAGGGATTAAGTGGAGAACCACCTGAATGGGTTCAACCTTCTCAGTGTTGCGCAACATGGATTCCGCAAGGGATTTTCTTGTCAGATTAATGTGCTTATAGCTCGTGAAACCTGGGCCGAAGCGGTAAATAGTGCCCACGATGTAGACGTGCTATTCGTGGACTTTTCGAAAGCTTCTGACATTGTTCCTCAGCTTCGACTCTCACTAAAATTGAGATTTTGCGGTATATCTCACTACAGTAATGAGTAATAATTTTTAGCTAATTCTTTTAGTTATGTATATGTTTATAGTTATGTGTATACAATATTTCATACATGTTTGCGTCTGAACTTGGGTGGTCATAGATTGTCATTATAATGTTCTATAAACCTTAAATTTATTTGATGCTAACACTAATATTGCTTTACTCTTTGCAAGCTGTTTCCTTTATTTTATCGTTACTTTTCTTATTTATCAGCAACTTCATTCTTTCAATATATCCATGATCGAACGTTTAGCTGATTCGAGAACGTCAGCTTCAAAATGTTCCCCGGCCGTCTGTTACGGGTTATGCTTACTTGTAAGCTTGCTACGGACATATTGGCGCGATGCAATTAGCAGTTGCTCAGATACGCCCTTGATGTAACGTGGACGGGGTAACTCTATTTTCTGGCACGACCTACTGTTTCCATTTTTAGGCTGAAATATTGTTGAAAACCGTTTGTGTGAACACTAACCCCGAATTTGTATTCGTCAAACTCACCATGAAATCCAGGAGAAAACGCCATCGAAGTGTTTGAAGCGTCGCAAAGGATTCACTACCTGCTCAAAGGCCGCGGAATATAAGACCTGCATGGACTTGCTGAATACCCGCTGCAGTATTTCCAAAGGCAATGTGTATTAACTCCTTCAAAGGACCGCACCCTCGGTTGTCTGGTTCATTTGTGACACATGCCAAGAAGCTGACACGGCTAACAACACTGGGATCTGTTCACCTTTGCTCAGCTACCTGGCCTACACAAGAGAAACAATAGTTGACTCTCTCCCACCACCTGCTTTATTCAGCTGGACGACATCGAACAACAGTTGTAGCCGTGACTCCTCTGCCTCATCGCTAGAGACACCGACAACTAGTAAACTTAAAGTTTAGCCCATACTGCCGTTTTGCGCCAAAGCGCGGCGCCAGAGAAAATTAGCCTACGTACGGCTGTGCGCCGTGATAAAATAAAGAGGGCCTCAAATCCCAACGCTAGCAAGGATCCCCACGCTCTAACCTGAAACATCATCATCATCATCATTGCACGTTAGCTGGAGGTGGAAAATACCTCAGCTATTGTGCTGCAGTGCAAAAGACAAGAAAAGGAAAACAGTGGCACGCCCGCTGAGTCCCCAGTAACGGATGGACATCGTTCCAAAGAGCTAACAGCTGGCTGCCGTAAAATAGAGTCATAATATGCCTAACAAGTGAGCTCGTGATTGGAGGGGGATGCTAAACATGAGTGGGATGGACAAAGGAACTCACAACACAAACGCCATTGGGGTCGGCTCCAAGCCATATCAGCAAGTGTGTCCAACCAAACGTGCTCACCGTCCTTAGGACCCCAGCCAGACAGTCGGAATGCACCAACCGACGCCAACTTCGAAGTGAGGCTTTCATTTCTCTCGATCAAGTCATCGCTTGACCTCCCATCCTCCTCTTCTAACCGCACCCACAACGCGCAAACAATGCACATCGCGGAAGTCGGTGTGCTGGCATGCGCAACACGTGGCCCAGCCATCGGAGCCTGGTGCGTGATATAATGGTGCTGAGCGGTTCATTCGCTCTTCCTGCACCAAATACGCGACGTCGAACACGCTCATTGCTCACGCGGTGTTCCCACCAGACATGAGCTAAGCTGCGAAGGCAGCGATGATCGAATGTGACGAGCCTCTTCATGTCTGTCGACCTGAGGGGCCAGGTTTCACAGCCTTATAAGAGAGTTGAACGGACGGCTGCGTTGTAAACTCTGCCCTTCAGGGCGAGAGTAATGTCGCGTCTGTGCCACAGGTGGCGGAGATTGGCAAAAGCACCTCGAGCTTTTGCTATACGGTTCGTAACCTCATCTTCAATCCCACGGGTGCTAATATAGCTGCCCAGGTACTTAAATTCCTGAACGACTTCTAGCAGATCACCACCAAGCGTTAGCGCAGGGTTGGGTCCCTGCCAATCTTGGAGAAGTACTTTGCATTTCGATGGAGCAAAGCATAACCCAAAACGATTGACAGCCAGTGCTAATCGGTTCAGTGCTGTTTGGCATGTTTGCGAGCTGTCACAGATTAGGGCAATATCGTCTGCATACTCTAAGTCAAGAAGTCGCTCACCAGGAAGTAGCTCCACACCTTCTAGGTCGTGTCCAGCGAACGCTGTTTCCATGACTTCATCAATAGCGAAGTTGAAGAGGAGAGGTGACAGCGGGCATTCTTGCCTCACACCGCTGGTGATACTGAAGGGTGGCGAGAGTTTGCCATAAACCCTCACCCTGCCCGAACTATGTGCGTACAGCGCTTTGATAATGTTTACATATTTATCAGGCACACCTTTCCTCAGCAGACAGTCCCAAAGGGCACATCGATCGACTGAGTCGAAGGCACCTTTTATGTCAAGAAACACGACAACGGTGGGTCGCCAATAAACATGGCGGTGCTCCAATACTTGGCGCAAGGTGAAGATGTGGTCGATGCAGCCCCGACCTCGACGAAATCCGGCTTGCTCTTCACGAATCTGGCTTTCACGAGTGCGAGTCAGTCTGTGAAGAATGACAGAGGCAAGCAATTTAGAGGCAATCGAAATCAGACTGATCCCTCTATGATTGCCGCATTCTAAACGGGAGTCTCCCTTGAAAATTGGGACAATTGCGAAGCGGTTCCAGTCTGTCGGGACTGTCTCCTGCTCCCAAAGTTTTACTAGCAACTCGTGTAGATCATCTATTAGAGCAGGTCCCCCGAATTTGAAGAGAGCTGAGGGAATTCTATTTGCCCATGCGGCCTTATGCAATTTCAACAGCTTGATCTCACGTTCGACTTCTGCGCGTGAGGGCGGATCCAAGGAGACGGCTCCAAGTATGAGTCCGTTGGAGAATTTGGTGAGATCGTATTTTCAGCCCCCCAAGTCTACTATTCCTAAAAGAAACAGACCAGGCGCACGGTTTCTATCCTTGTCAATGCGCCTGTACCTGACAAGCAAACATTCGAAGAGGATTTTGTGTGGCCAATCTTTTCTAAAATGCGTGGGCTCTCCAATGTGACGACGGAGAAGCAGGACGATTCTTCTGAGGCCCGTCCCCTTAA